ATTAATGACAGAATTTTCATTTTTGGGTGAACTAACCCTTTAAGAATGTTGAATTATTTACTCCAAATATGATGCTGTTATCCAAACTTATTACACAACTCTCTGCAACACTCAATTCTGGTTGGTCAGTTGCTGAATGCAGCAGTTAGAAATGTCTTAATATTCACCATTGTCCTTGGCAACACTGTATCCATCTGATTTTTTATCATGGAAGTAAGCTATTTCCTGTAAATGTGCAAGACTTCTGATTCATTAATGGGTATAGGTAAATAATTAGAAGAACAGCCTTGGACATTCAAGTCAAAAATGGCTGCACCCACTCTTACGTTAAAAATAAGGTGGATATCAGAACGCTCATGTGAGTAGATTAAACCAGCGCTACTTTCATGTCACTCATATCACACCGTGGACTCGCTCTTGTTACGTACAAATGCAACTGGCGCCATCTTGCATGTGTATCAGTTATCGACTGTAATAGAAATTACCTCAGCAAATGGACTTTTCTTCTAAGCAGAGGCTCTAAGATAATATACAGGAAAAATGATTCAATTATTTAATACGTACAGTACTAACGTACAGTATTTATTTATTTTGCTCCTCTCGGTGTCCGTGTCCTGATCACCTGTCAGGATTTATTTTACGATTAGCTGTATAAGTTGTCCCTTACAAATTCAAGCACACAACTGACAATTGTACTGTATAATTTCTCCAAATGTGTTTCAGAGGGGGCATCAGAGATGGTGACATCATGGTTAAGTTAAACGGAGAGCCTCTCATGAGCACCAGCGACCTGAAGGAAGCGCTCAACCAAGACACGACTCTGCTGCTGGAGGTGCGCAGAGGCAACGACGACCTGCTCTTCAACATTGAGCCTGACGTCATCATGCAGTGAGACCCAAATGTGAACCATCGAACTCTCACTGAAGACATTGATTTTATCATGTCAGTCATGCACTGTCATGGCCAAAGGGATGTCTTACAGGGCATCCTTCTACAAAACAGGGACCTCTTTTACAAGCTGAGAGGAATCTAACCTTGAGCTTTTGCAATCTCGGTCATGTCAAGTCTGCCTAAGAGATTTTATATGAAAGGCATTTCATAACAGCACACTTTCTTCGAAGCAGGTTTGAAGCGGAGAATGATTTAGATCATTGCAAATATGAAAAATTGCAGTACTGTATTTTGTAGAAAAAGACAAAGCTGGTGATATTTTATACCCAGTCCACAATGAATCTACAATGAAATGTTAAGCTGGGAAAATTTTTAAAAGTTGAAATCTCAATAAATTATATATATATTATATAATTATATATATATTATATAATTATATATATATATATTTCATTGCTGAAACTTGTGGCACCAGTGGCAAGAATCAATTGTTGTATGTATATATATATATATATATATACATTTTATATAATTTGTGCAGAATGACTGTCATGAAGAATGACATTTTTATGGTCATCTTGTCCAATGAAATGTTGTGTGCTTTTTATATGCAGAAATCAGAGACGTCTTCTGTTCATGTAATCTGTTTATCAGTCTGTATATGCTCATGTTCCTGTTTGTCCTAAATGTCTATGCATATCATATGTCCTGATTACCATGTCTTCAAATATGCTCATATATTTTTTGGTTCTCTTCAGCCGGATCTATGAATGTTGAACCTATGAAATACTTGGCAGATTAGATTGGTGGATGATAAATGCTAAATTTTAACAGAGCAGTCAGTTGAAACTAATATAAAGAAGAGTCAAGTTAGATTATGTAAAAGAGGCAAGTTAACTGACACTGTCAGGTCTAATGATTCATGATTAGTCAGCGTTTGGATTGGAAAGTCACAGATCCAGAATACCCTTCAGAACTTTCCAGCACACAAAGCTTTTTCTCCAGTTCTCACTGTCTGGACAGGACCCATGGATCACAAAATCTAGACATGACACAAGGCTACACATTTCAAGCAGCGTAGGATGATTTGATAGCTTTAGCTTATTCACTGAAGTAGGCCTGTTTCTATGAAAAACACCATCAAGATCTACTCATTCAAAGCAGTTAAAAAAAATCTTATGATGCCATTACCTTTAAATCTTTAATATACTTTACTATAAGGTGTGTCCAACTTTGTGTACATATGCTCTATTGTATGCCATTTTGTGTTCACACTGAAAAATCCAACAAAAACGTGCACTTCAAATACTCATTTGCTCACTTCAAATACAGGTGCATTTCAATAAATTAGAATGTCGTGGAAAAGTTCATTTATTTCAGTAATTCAACTCAAATTGTGAAACTCGTGTATTAAATAAATCAGTGCACACAGACTGAAGTAGTTCAAGAATAACCTACAATTTTGTGTTTTCTGAGATGGACTCTATAAATGGAAAGCCAGTCATGTTGCAGATGTGCAGAAAAGTTGCTTGCTGCACATCCTGCATTTTTTCCAGAAGGTCCCATTCAATTTAAATGGGTCGTGACATGAGAAATACATTTTTCTGACATATGAGAGGTCTTTGTACCATTAAAATATTCTATCCCCCGGTTTCACAGACAAGGCTTAAGCCTAGTCCCAGACTAAAATGTAAGTCTGAGCTGTTTCAACTGAAAGAAACTTGCACTGACTGATCTTAAAATATTTCAGTGCCTTTGTTTTGTCTCAAGATGCACACCAGTAATGTTTTTTTTCTAAGGAATGTTTATAAAAATTACTTGAATGTCCTAATTGAGCTATGGCCTAATCCTGGCTTAGTCTAAACCCTGTCTGTGAAACCAGGCCTATAAATTTTATAGCTTAAAACATTATCCTTAGCCTTTAGATAACCAAGCTCCAAAACAGCTAATTTTGTTGTGGGATCTTTGATATTACACAGGCAAATACATTTGGAAATTTCTTCTTCACTATAACTATAAGCTCCACCATAACGAATACCTAACACCACCCCATTAAGCCTAACCTTAATGATGCTATAATCTCCACACTACCCAAACTTCCAGTCTAAAACTGTTGGTCTGGCACTGCTGTGACATTTGACCCTGCAGCTCTGCAACTGGTTATTATCGGATCAGATGCGAGTGTCACGCTGCATCAAAAGCAAACGGAACCCATTGTGATCAATACACTGGATACAGTATACCGATGCCTATTCAATTCTGACGTATTCCACGGACTAGAGCTACTCCTCCTGACAACAGGGTAATCAGACATTCATTTTAATGAGTTCTGTTTAAGCAGAATCTTTTCATCTGTACAACCCTCAGAAGGACTGTAAATGAAGGTTTTATATGGATAATAATTTCAAAACACTTATGTGCAACAGTGAGTTGCGTTTTTCCATGCCAATACATTAGTCAGTCATAACAGTGGCCGTTTACGACAAGCCTTAAAGGGGTCATATGATGTTGCTAAAAAGAACATTATTTTGTGTATTTGGTGTAATGAAATGTGTTTATGCGGTTTAGGGTTCAAAAAACACATTATTTTCCACAAACTGTACATTATTGTTTCTCCTCTATGCCCCGCCTTTCTGAAACGCGTCGATTTTTACAAAGCTCATTGGTCTGAA